CATGGACCAGAAAGCAAACATCAAGTCAAATAGATGATATATGGATAAACCCTGAAATCGCACTCTCGTTTACAACCCCTTGTCTTCAAGATCTCTATAATATTACAGACAGTGATCACTAAATAATTAGTACAGAATGGCAGACACCCTCTTTACAAAAACAATCACGTAATAAGAAACGATATCATAAAATATATAACTATAACAGAATGACAAAAGTAGATTGTGACGACTTCGCAAACTTTATCTCCACCCACAATGTATTATATGATACAAATCACAAATGAAGACCAGCTAAACCATTCATTTAATATTCTCAATAATATCATTAAACAAGCGGCTAATAAATTCATTCCACATACCTTTAGCAGCCCTCGCATATTCTACACACACTCCTTTAAAGCCAGTTCTCTCCATCGAGCCAAAATTATACAGAGAACCCTCCCTAAATGCACCCTCTTCGGACCAAGCATGAGTATGCATTTAGAGGAGGGTGTGCATTTAGGGAATATCCTTTCTCACATGATAAACTCTTATTATCAGTCATACAAATCTGTATATTTCTGTATTTATGAAGATTATTTGTCATATTTAAAATTTTCATAGTTATATGTACTATATACTTTGTATATATATTCGAACAATTTATAGTTACTAACTTTACATTAGGCTGATCAAACGAGCTATTTACAATTTCCAGTGATAATTTTAAAAACTTAATATTAATACAGTTTATTTAATATTTAATAGTTAATAAGAAATATAATTTTTATGAAAGAAGTCACTAAGCTCAAATAGCGGTAAGGAACAATAATAATTTGCTTTTATAAATTAAAATATTGATTCAAATTTGTTTGTTTCATCAAACCAACTCGTTTTGCATTAACAAATTTTTCAATGCTATCAATTTTTTTTATATACTCACCCGATTCTTCTTGCTAGAGTAAAAATGTACGCATTACTTTTAAGCTTTTTAGTGCCTCGCTTGTGCTTATGATTGTTGTTTCAACACTGTCATCCGCTTCATCAGAATCTTCATTATCAGATTCTTCAGGTTTTTCTTTAAAGATTTCAATAATTTCGGCCATTAGAGAGTTTTTATCAAGAATTTCACAAACAACTTCTTCTTCTGGAATAGCTAGGAAATCATCTACTTTCATTGAATTAGGTAAATTAA